ATTCGCAAGTTAAATAAAATTGTAGAACCTTGCATAGCCTACAGTAGTTTAAAGCCAAAACTTCCAGCACTATTAAAAACCACTCAAACTACGTGGTTGCGTGGCAGACCACGCGTCACCGTCGATGGATCTAAAATATCACATTTCACAATTGTCATTTTTTTTTTAAAGGTAGGGAGTTCCCTAGAGTTTGTTTAGGGTGGGGTGTACTAAACAGGGCGAGTGGGAGGACACACCAGGGCCAGCATGTCCTTCCCCCAGAGGCGCGCGCCGTCCAGCGGCACGCACGCGGGCCGCCCCACCCGCCCAACGCAATACTGCAAACGGCCTGGAGATTCTTTTGCACTCCTACACGAAGGACAGGATGATGTCCCTGAGCGCCGTGTAGGAGCCGATGGCGAGCGCGCACAGCCCGAACACGAAGATGAGCACGTCCCGGACCGCGATCCAGTGGTAGCGGCCCGTGTTGGGCCACGTCACGCAGATGTCGATGAGCGCGGGGAACACGAGGCCGAGCGCGGCCAGGCACAGGGCGCCGAACAGCGAGATGAACAGGTCCAGCTTGGGCACGGCGATGGCCACTCCGACTGCGAAGAGAGACAGAGAGAGGAAAGTGTGTGTCAGTTCGGGGCTCGGACCGCGTGATGGAGCGCCTTCAAAGCCGACGGTAGGCAGCGCCGTTCAGCAGCCGTGGGCCGCGGGTTGGCCTACCCTGGCGGGGGGCTCTACTTACAGGTGAAGAGGACGAGGACGGTCCTGACGACGTACTCCCACAGCAGCAGGTGGCTGTTCTTCTCCATCCTCTTCTTGAGGCGCTGCTCCCACAGCACGTCCAGGGGGACGTAGCACTGCAGGGCGTAGGTGATGAAGATGGCGATGGCGAAGACGAGCTTGCAGATCTGCGCGGGACTGCAAAGCAGAAGAGCGTGGTTATCGTCATTGATCAGTCTGTGATCAGCGTCGGAGATTTAAAACCTCTGAAACGGGCAGAGTGACATACTCACATGTCTCCGTTGGGCAAGTTTAGGGTAATGGACGGTTGCGAAAGCTCGCCGTATCGGATGAAGCCGAAAAAGCCGATGAAGGCGTACAGGCTCACGATGACGACCATGGAGCGGTTGAGGACGCCCGTGTAGCCCGGGAACGAGCGAGGGGTCTTCATGTTGTTCTCCAGGGCGACCACCACGCCGACGGCCTCGAGGGCGAAGAGGGTGGTGCCGATGAAGAGGGGCAGGGAGCCGAAGGGCCTCACGTACGGCAGCTCGGAGACGTCGGGCAGAGCCGAGAACACGTAGTAGAGGATGATGCCGAAGCCCACGAACGTGATGGCGTTGGCCAGCGTGGACAGCGGCGCCAGGTACTTGAGGTTGCGGATGTAGTTGAGGAGGATGAGCGGCAGCAGCAGGGCCAGCATGTAGTACGACAGCCGGGTCTCCGTGTGCGTCCAGGCGTCCACGACCTGCTTCAGGTTCTCCGCCACGAACATGATGTACACGCAGCAGATGCCGAGCTGGTACGTGACCAGGAATGTGTCAACGATGGGCCTGCAGGGTCAATCAATCAAGCGTCGGCGGTTGAGTGTTTGTGACTCGCCAAAGACACAGCGCGGCCAACTGGCCAACTCAACTAAGTTGGTCTAGCACAAAGGTGAGCGGAGCCAAAAGAGTAACTTACACGGAGTAGCGCGCGAGGAACCGCAGCCGCGTGGGCCCGGTCTCGAGGGCCATCCTCATTGTGTCCGGGTAGTTGAGCACGGGCAGGCGAGCCCGCCGACACAGCTCGTACTGGCACCTCAGCTGCATGGGTTCAATCGGTTTGCATTATGATACTGAGAAGGAAACTGAACGCTCCAACATCACCCAGAAAAGTTGAAAAGCCTGTGACAGCCATCGTATGGTTGATAAGGGACAACCATGAAAATATGGTTGCGGCAAAGACTCGCAAGCAAGAGGTTTTCAGCCACTAAAACTGCCACACTGTTCACCATTTTCGTGGTTGGTTTACCTCTGTGACTGTTGGTACAACCATACTTTTATGGTCGTCCCTAATCAACCATGTGATATTTGCTGTAGCCCATTCCCCTCTTTCTGGGCGTAACTTTATTGTTTCAAAGTACTCACGAGCACGTGCAGGCAGTAGGTGCAGACCGAGCCGATGCAGATGGTGCCGATGAGCCCGACAATCAGCCCGGCGTTGTTGAAGGCGTGGGGCATGGCCAGCACGCCCGTGCCCAGGCTGCCCTTCAGCATGTGCACCCAGGTCTCGAAGTTACTGGAAACAGAAAGCGGACGGCGGTCAGGCGGCGTGCTCGCATTCTCGGCACAAACTTATGTTGCTCGTGCCGGTCATACGTATACAGTGATTGACGGATTGATTGATTCCGGTTGATTCGCGATGATTGATTCTTTTGTTTTTGACGTGGTACAACAAACAGCGAGGCCGCCTCGGTGGCCGCGACCTCGTACGTACGTCATGCTCGCGTTGTCACGGTATGCGACCGGAAACATTTCCAGTGCGGCTCCTACTAGACCAAACGCATTAAAGTTGACACGTTTATGGCGGACGACGACGCAGTCCACCGCAGCCGCGCCGGCCCGTTTTCGCGAAATGTGGGCAGTTTGTCGGGGACGCCGCCGGCGCCGTCGTGCGCCCCAACCTGCCTTCGGACCGTGCAGGCCGTTAAACCGGAGCCAAACAAACAGACGGCAAAGTAGTTGTGGCATTAAAAACGCGTCAGGCGTACGGGAGCTTCGCTGCCCGGACAGGGAGCGAGGCCGTGAAAGAGGGCGCTACAAGGTCAGGACCGTAACCGCGGACCAGCGGGGACTCCCCTGGCCGCTACCCGCCCCGGAGCCGGCCCCGTCCTTACTGCGCACGGACCGAATGACGTCGACGAGCGCGCAAAGTGGACAAACGCCTCTCTCCTTCCTATATTATTGTTTCACGTGATGCTCAAGGACGCTCCAGAGCAGGTGGTGACTCCAGCAGAGCCTGCTGTTCTAGTCGGACGCAGACCGTCCATTACACCACCCTCCGGTACGCCAGAGGTTCATGGTTGTCCGCGAGGTGCGCCAGCTCGCCTTGTCGCAGCGCACGGCAAGGCCAAGGGAAAGATGCGCTCCATGTGTGTCAAGGAAGTGAAGTGACTCCCGGCACGAGCGGACGCGCCGGTCACGTGAGCGGTCGGTCGATCAGGGTTAACGACTCGCTCCTGCAGGAGCTGCGCATCATAGTTTTCGAAGATTCGTTTAAGTGGTACTTTTCCTCGCCCATGTGGTGATTTGTAAGTCTTAACTATGGAGACTCCCAGAAAAAAATCATAGAAATTTGATATATTTCCAACAAAATTAGAAAAAATTAAACTTTTCAGAAAGATTTTG